CCTCCAGGCTCACCACTGCTATGTCATACGGAGAGGTCTCCTGAGTGGCAAACACCACTCGTCCCCAGATTGCCACATTCCTGGGGACACAGGAAACAAGTGACAAGCTAGCCTTTGGTTGCCTTAGCACTGGGGAGAGAGCAATACAAGAGACGAGTCATGGGATGGGGTGGGTGTGGTGACGCACACCTTTGATCCTAAGACTTGGGATGCAGGGGCAGGCAGATGTCTGAGCTCTGGGGCAGCCAGGACTGCATACTGAGAGTCTGTCTTATTTGGGGGCAGGAGGACTGAAGTCAGAATATAGGGACAGGTATCAGCCTTGAAGCCCACACTTAACCAGATGTGCTTACAAACGCAGCACGCTTCTATAGCTGCACATGCCTGACCATAACCTAGTGAGTCCTGTGACCAGACCTTGCTGATGCTTGTGGACACTGGCTCACTCCTTTCTCTTAAACCTACAAACAAATCATTGGTATTATCCCCTTTAGACGGTGCAGCTGAGGCTCAGAGAGGCCAAGCAACCTTCCTAAAGGTCACAGAGCAAACAGTAAGGAGCCAGGGGGAGCTTAACAAAACTCTACTGCTTCACTCCTGGGCAGGCATCGAGGGAAGAGGCTTCTTTTTGAGACAGGGTCTCTCTCCATAGCCCTAGCTGTCCAGGAACTCACTCTGTAGACAGGGGCACGCTACTACCTACTCTGTAGGGTAGCTGTTTCCAGAAAAACCTGATGATTTCCTTAAGATCAGCAGGCAAGGGGAGAGTGAGAAGTTGGGGGCACACCTCATTTTCACTAGGAAAACTACAGCTGTTCAGTTGGCTGCCTGTAGGGACTCTGGCAAAGCTGGGCTTCATTAGGATACAGGGCTAACCTCAGAAGTTCAGAAAGGCCTGGGCTGAGAGGCAAAGGACAAGCTTAAATCCACGGTGCTCCTTGGCTCTAAGTATCTGGAGCTACAGAGGACACAGAACCATAGGCAACCATGCCAGAAAGCCAGGAAGCCAAGGCCACTGGCCTACTGCCAGAGCAAGAAAAGGAGGGCAAAGGTGTTTCTCTACAGAGGAAATAAGTTGACTGTCTCTGCCTAGCTATACTCTGAACTCGCTCAGATCTATCTGCATGGGTCTAAGTCCTATGCTCTAATTAGGCAGACCTTGCTTCATCTTCAAGTGGCAAGGCAGCCCTGGTGAGGCTCTAAGGGAGCCCTCATTAGATAGAACGCATCAGTCATCCCCCCAGGGCCTTCATTTATCACTTCCAGGGTTGAAGTCCTTAGGGTAAGCCTTCCATGGTCAAAGGGCTTTAGTGGGGCCTAAACAGCAAAGCCAAGAGACAAGAGAAGCTGCCCAAAGAGTTTCAGGCTAGTTAAGGGCTCAAAGGCACCCAGTCCTACCTGCCTATAATACCACGGGTCCCCATGCTAAGAGTAGCTTGTGTCTGGCAGTTTGCCCAAGCTTCACTGGGTCCTATCAAGAGGTCCAAATCCCCTCATCTTGGTTGTCAAGAATGAACCAAGGTTTCTAACACTGGGACCTGGTGAAGGGGGCAGTCCTGGGCCTTACTTGGGTGTAGCCGAGTGTACCAAGACCCGGGCTGCTTCCCGGGGTGCCACATGACGGCAGGTCACCACCAGGCGAGGCGCCACGGCCACTCCGGAGCCCCACACGGTACCACACTCCACCAGCACCGCCGCGGCCGCCCACGGGGGTCCGAGATCTCGCAGGGGCAGGCCCCGGGGCGCGCCCACCTCCGGTGGCAGCAGCACCGACAGAGAGGCGGAGCCCGGATGCAGACTGGAGAGCGCCCAGCGGGCAACCTGAAGCAGCGGGGCGGCGGCGCACAGCAACGTGAGGCCCACCCACTCGCGGGCCTTCCAGCAGAGCGGCGCGGCCACCAGAGCCACCAGCGCGCCGGCGGGTCGAGCCGCGAATACGCCGCCGCCTTCCGTGCCGGGCAGGCAGCGCGCGTCGGTGAGCAGCAGCGGCCCCGCCGCGTTGCTGAGCACGCCACGGCTCAGCGTGTTGAGGAAGATGTCCGGGCAGAAAGCACCGAACGGAGATCCGCAAGCCAGCAGCGGTGCGCCCTTGGTCACGACCCCGAGCGGTGCCACGGTCACCGCCGGCCCGCGCCTCTCTTCCGCCGCCGCGCCCCGCTGCACCCGCAGCAGGGCGAACCAGCCGAGCGCGCGCAACTGGTCCTCCTCCTCCTCCTCCGACACCGCATCGTCGGGCGCCGAGCTCACGAAGTGCCACTGATCGGCCGCTTCGGCCCCGAAGAGCCGCGCGAAGTGCGAGCGGAAGCCCGGGCAGCTGAGCAGCAAGAGCAGCCGCGCCGGCCGCGGGGGCTGCAGAGGCCTCGCGCGGGCCCGGCTCGGGGCACCGGGTTCGAGGCCCAGGCTTGCGCACTGAGGCGTGCACAGTCCCGGGAGTTCCTGGTCCGCGCGGCCGGCGGGGCTGGCAGTCGTGGGTCCCCACTGCACGTGGAGGCGCAGGTCATCGCTGCAACTGTCGCCCGGCAGGAAGGCGGCGCCCGTCTGGGTCAGCGCCGCGCTGCCCGTCCTCAGGAAAGGGGTGAAGATGCCCCCGTGGCACAGCACCAGGCCTGGGCTGCGGCTCAGGATCACCCCGCTGCAGCTCCACGAGCCCACGTCGGGCTGTCCTGCCCGCGAGGCGCTCACCACGCAGCCCGCCTGCTCCGCCACTCTCATGGAGGGTCCCCATTGCCGCCCCATGGCTTCCCCGAAACGTCGCACAACGGCTGTCACCTCAGGGCGACTGGCGCAAACTCTGACTCAGGCCTCCTCGCCGAGCCCGATTGGCTAAACCCCAAGCGGCCGCCCCTATTGGCTGGGCATAGCGCCGAGTCCCGATTGGCTACTGATGCTAATCCTCCTTTACTAATCCTCCTTTCCCCGCCCTCTTAATGTAGCCAACCTGGGACCCTTGGGTTAGGGGCCTGGGGTGGGGGTGGGGCAGTGAAGAGAAACCTCCTGGGCGACAGACATGAAGCGTCACAGGGAGACCGATAAGGGCGACAGTCCCTAGTCGAATCTCGTACTTGGCCGGCAAATACCTGGACCACACAGTCTCTGCACGATGTAAGCAACCTCCGTCCCTGATAGTGGGACATTATGGGCCAAGGGCCAAGGTTGGCCCTTGGTTGATTGAATACATACATACATACATACATACATACATACATACATACATATGTTTATTTTGGATTTTCGAGATAAGGCTTCTCTGTTCGGTCCTGGAACTCGCTCTGTAGACTAGGCAGGCCTCGAACTCAGGGATCCATCTGTCTCTACCTCCCAAACCCAGGGACCAAAGGCGTGAGCCTCTAAACCCCGCTCTACTTTAAAAATTTTGTAAATCCTACAACAATCCACTAGGGGGCAAACGACTCACAAAATGACTCCTAGGACAGTTACTAAAATTCCCACAATACATAGCTTTTAGAATTGTTTTGAGACAGGGTGCCGCTTTTTGGCCGGCACTGGCATCGAACTTTGGCAACCTTCTGCCTACAGCCTTCCTGGAGTCCAGGGATTACACTCCCGAGCATGCGTATTTCACATGACATTTCTAACCACCGCTCAGGATTTATATGAGATGGGGGTAAATACTTTGAAAGTCCAGAATTAAATAGTTCAGGTTTTGTGGGCTATAAAATCTTCACCTCCAAATATTCAGCACATAACAGTCTCATAAATTTGAATTTTATATACAACCCATATTCTACAATTGTGCTCCGCCACCATTTACTAGTGTAAAAATGGAGACTGGAGAGGAGGGTTCAGCAGTTAAGGGATGTTACGGCTCTAATCCTGGACCCTAGTTTGGTTCGCAGTACCCACACGGTATCTTACAGTTGCTTGTAATTATAGCTCCAGGATATCCAATACCCTCTTCTGGCATCTGCTGTCTCCTGGACTCATGACTCAGGCAGGCAAACACATGTACACATAAATTCGATAAAAAATTTCCTTACTTTCCAAATTACGTCTGAGGACAGCTGAGCGCAAACAGTATGTTTGGAGAGGCTTCATGAACCTCACCAAAGCTATGCTTTGAATCACTAAAATGTTTTTCCGTTTAGTGAGATTTCTAGCATACTGTGAAAAAAAAAACAACCCATTTGTTTTGTTGCATAACTTCTCGGAGTGAAATTAACACTGGTGTTGCTTTCCCAACCAGCACACCTAACGCTTCCAGTGCTCCTGTGTCAAAAACCTACCTGAAAAGGGAAAACAGTGGTGGTTGTGGTGGTGGTGGGGGTGTGTGTGGCACCAGAACTGGAATGAAGCAGCCTTCTCAGAGCAGGCAGTCCTGGTTTGCAGACAGAGATGACCAACAGATCTACCTTCCCCAGTTTCCTGGTAATGAAGACTCTAGAACCCAATAATTCTCCTCCCTCGATGGCCTTCAAGCCTCCAGGGCACTCTGTTCCTTGACAAGTTTTTCTGTTTAGGGCTGATCACAGACAGTCCAAGTCAGGCAGCAGCGCCTTATGTTAAGGTGCTGGAACTAGACTCTGATTCTCAGGTCCCTCTGTCCCCAAGAAACATACCCTTTACCCACAGAACCAGTTTCCGTCCCCTGTAAAGGTGATCACAGGACACATCTAGCATACTGTTTTGGATTTTGCTGTCTTCTGGTGTTTTTTATAAGAAACTGTAATGTTAATGTGGAATCAGACTTCTGTTTTGCCAAGTGTGGCTCTGGCTATTGGCTGACTCTGCTAGTTAGGAATGTCCAAGCACAGCCATTAGCACGGTTACAAAGATGACCAACCTCCTCACGCCACAACATGATCCAAGATGCTCAAATAGCACACTGCTTTCCTTTTTAACAGTCTTTTATCCTGGTAGCAATTCAAGATTCACATTCTCTTTAAATGTTCCTCCCTGTATGTAAGGAAGAATCTTTGTTTTTCTTCCCAATACTGCATGTTCACTCAGAACAAATCAATTAAAAAAAAAAAAGAGGCAAGTTGATTTTAGCTTTTTATTAAAATGCTTAAGATACAGACTGACCTTCTTTTGTAAATGACAGTTTTACTTTTGCTGAAACAGGACACATACACTCTGATAAACAGAATGAAGAGTCTCAGTTCATTGGAGGCCTTGGGCAAGGCCCTGGCCCTCAGGTGGAGTTGCACTTGCTGCAGCGACCACTTTGGCCAGCTTATTTAGATGGTGTTCTGTGCAGCATGAAGCACACTGATGCCACTTGTCAGCCGTCTCTTTCTCCAGTGGCCAAAATAAACCACTTTCACAAAGAGCCACCCTGGGCAGAGTCCAGTCTTCTAGGTTGCCACTGAGCAGTTAGGGACAAACAAGACAGACAAATGAGGAACCCTACACAGGCCATCACACCCATCATGTGTCTGGACAGACATGTGGACAGTCTTTAGCCAAAGGCAATAAAGGGCACACCAGCTACCTACCCAGCTTGCTCAGGGTTTTAGCAACAGGCCCTTCCACACAGACAGCTCTCATCCCAGCTGTATGTGGGTGAACGCAATGCATGCAGTTTGCAGACAGACATCTCACCAAGGCTCTGCGTTGGGAACCCGGCAGTGTATCAGAACACTGTCCCAGGGGCTCAGTGCTCAAAACTAAAACGTGGTAAGACACTCCCCAGGAGTGTGCTCCCACCTTCCCTACTCTCTTGTCAGAATACAGCAGCAGAATTTCCACTTAAGAACCTACCCTCACCTTGCATTATAGGAAATCAGAATCAAGATACCTTCTCGTCTACAGACGAGACTCTCATCCACTCAAGGGTAGAATGTAAAGTTAACATCAGGAAAACTCAACCTCACACATGCAGCAAGAAAACCACACACTATATATAAAACTCCTGTCCATGATCCTCACAGGTATGCACGCTGCTGCTTCCACGCTGGCACTTGCTGCTGCCGGAAGGTCATCTGGATTTTCTGTTATTTCTGAAGGGGAAAACACAGAGCCCCCTGAGAGGTTTTCCTAGGTTCTTGTTGCTACCAGATCAGATGGGGAGCATCTCACAGAGTTCAGAGCCTCAAGCTGCTGATTTTGACCTGCATCCTCCTGTTCAGAACGCCCCTCTAGAATCTGTTCAAAAGCATTAGAGCCACACCCGAAGCATGGGGTCTACATGAGAGATGTCCTTAACTCTTTCATGAGGCAAAAGTCACTTTTTACATCTACAGTGAAGAAAGGAAGGTGCTACACAGAGAGATGAAATTCCACAACAGTATAAAAGCAAAGCCTGCTGAAACCGGTAACCACAAATGAAGTTGACAACATGACCATGACACTTTACCCACTCCAGATGAGGACTCCCTTTACTACGGGTGGAGACCAGTCCAGGGAAGGCCGAGGCTCTGTCGTCTCCCGGCGCTTGTCTTGGGTAACACCCTCAACAGGCAGTCACACAGCGGAGCTCTGGCCTCCAATGTGCTATCTGTTCATAATTTTATGAAGTATCTAAATTTCATTTACTAGTTTAAAAAAAAAAAGAATAGAAAATCTGGACCAAGTAAATTGTGAACTCAAAAAGTTAGAGAAGGGATACCAATTACATTAACAACACTTTCTTTAAAAAATAGAATCACTTTCTTTTGAAATCAACCAGTGGTGAGACGTGTTTTTCTTCTCAGGTGTCCCATGATGGCACCCAGCTTTCCCTGGCAAATGCTGCCAGCCCCAGTCCCCGCACACTGCCCGGCAGCTGCAGCAGCAGGCAGTGTGGAGAAGAGCACATGTCACCACTGGGCAATGAGCGTAGACAGATGCGTGGCTTCTCAATGCCATACATGGTTGGAGAGCTTTCCTTGTTCTATTAGAAAAGTCCATGAGGAAGCTGTGAATAGGATCAGTCCAGAAGGAAAACTCTTTATTTCAGTGTCCACACATCAGTCAATGTACTGGGAGAGCCAGCGGAAACCCTCGCCGTAGCCTTGCCTCTTGAGCACACTGCACATGAACACTTCCATGGGGCGGGCGTTCAGCTCCTTCAGAGTCACATTCCCCTACAGGAGGCAAACCCAGAAAGGCCTGTTAGGACCTCACATGCAAAAGCACACACACACACACAGAGACACACACACACACACAGTAACTGCAGTGTGAGGACCTCAGTTCAGGTCTCCAGCACCCACACAGAAAGCTGGGCATGGTGGCACACGCCTGGACTCCAGACACAAGTGGATTCCCGAAGCTCTGTGCTCAGCCAACTTACCCCAATAAATGAGTGCCAAATTCTTTTGAGACTCACAGCTAAAGCTGACCTCAAGTCTCTGCATACATGAACAAGTATGTACACACACACTAAGTACCTGGCTTATAGTTCTGTATTTTCTCTCATCAGCCTTTCTAGACCAGAGCCTCCCTTCAGAGTCTAGTACAGATAATAGGCACACTGATGTAGGGTATCCCAGTTCTATTTCTGCCTTTAGTATCCATTTGCCATGCAGACCTGAACAAAATACTGTTTCCTCATTTGTAAAATAGGGTAAGAGTTTCACTTCTATCAGCACTAGGATGGCCAAGTGCTTCAATTTTAATACCTGAAAAGCATACAGAATGCTTTCTAAAGGTCCATTTAATTGTGTATATGTGGATGTCTGTGGCAATGTACCAGAATGCAGCGCCCATGGAGGCCATGGGCTTCAGACTGCCTGGAGCTGGAGTTACACATGCCTGTGAGCTGCCCAACATGGATGCTAAGTATCAAGCCTGGGTTCTCTGCAAGTGCAAGACGTACTCTTTTTTTTTTTTTTTTAATTGGATATTTTATTTACATTTCATATGTTGTCCCCTTACCCCATCCCCACCCACCCGGGAACCCCCTTTCCCCTTACCCCTCCTCCTTCTTCTCTGCAAGACGTACTCTTAACTGCTGAGCCATCTCCTCAGCCCCAGAAAATTTTTTAAAAGATTGAAGCCAGATATGCTGGCACACGCCTTCAATCCTAGCACTGGGGAGGCAGAGACCACCAGATCTCTGACTCTGAGGACAGCCTGGTCTACACAGACCTTGTCTGAAAATAGTAACAATTATTTTTTTTTTTTTAGATCCAAAAATAAGTAAATATTAACATCAAATGGTGGCTAGCAAGTATCTGTCAAACACCAACTCCAGGGTATATAGCACTGACCTCTGACACCTACAGGCACTGCATTATGCATGGTACACAGTCACACACAAGCAAAACACCCATCCATAAAATAAAAAAATAAAATATTCAAAGAAGATTGCCTTTTCTAGCATTTTTAGCATGTCTTCAATTATTAGGTATTAGAGACAGGTGAAGAGGGGAGTCGTATGGCTAAGTGGCAGAGCACGCACTCAGCACATACATGGACCTGAGCTCAAAGCCCTCTTTGTATCACTGGGAAGGAGGAAGGAAATGACTAAAGAAAATCCCCCTGATAAAACATTCACACTCCAGAGACCCTCTCTCAAAACACACACGCACCAAAAAAAAAAAAAAAAAAAAAAAAAAAATAAAAAAAAAAAAAAAAAAAAAAAAAAAAAAAAAAAAAAAAAAAAAAAAAAAAAAGAAAAGAAAAGAAAAGAAAATAAAAGAAACCGCAGCCATAGCCTGGTGGTGGTGGCGCATGCCTTTAATCCCAGCACTTAGGAGGCAGAGGCAGGCGGATTTCTGAGTTCGAGGCCAGCCTGGTCTACAGAGTGAGTTCCAGGACAGCCAGGGCTACACAGAGACATCCTCAAAAAAAGAAACTGCAGCCATGGTATCTGCCTCACATCTCCTGAGGACGTTTCGCTTACCTTTCCTGTGGTCTGCCCATAGAGCCCAAATATTTCACGGAGTTTTTCTTCACTGATTGCATCTGTCCTGTCAATTTTGTTTCCCAAGATAAGAATTGGCACGTTGGATATTGTTTCGTCAGTCATTAAAGCCTAGAGATAGGATTAAAAAGACAAACCCAAGTGAGCAACTTAGGAAATGACAGCTCCTCACAGAAACCATCTGAGACCGGCTCTTGTTCATCTCGGCATGAGGTGCTGAGAGGAGGACAGAAGAGAAAGGCCCTGGATGTGTCAACAAACCTGGGATAAACAGAACACAGCAGATGACTGATGTCACAAGGAACTGGACAGAAAGTCCACACTAGCATGTTCGGGAAAGCAGGACGACCCACACTTGAACAAAACCTTAGCTAAGATGTGGAACTGAGGCTGCGCTCCACGGGAAGGGAAAGAGCACAGTGGCAGTGCAACAGTGCGAGAATTCAAAGAGCCACACACAGCGCCCGCCGCCTGACTGGATTAAGACATTTACACAGATGTGCCGCAACAGAGCAAATGTGATAGCAACTGACGACCACGTCCCGGTGCCAGTCTGAAAATGTAAGCTCCACTAGAGCCTAAAGACTGTGAACCCAAGGTCAGCAAATCTATACCTTCAGAACAGGGATTCGGTAACCAGTGCTTGTCACTTAGATGATCTGTAAAATCCAACTGAATGGACTATGCAAGACGGGTTCTGGGAAGAACTGAAGTGAGAGTCTAACAACAGAGCGGACAAGGAGACAGTGCTGATGCGGTCTCAAGACCAGGCATCTGAGTCTCACAGACAGGAGAGTAAGGAAGAACCTTTTTATCCTGTAAGTGACAAAACCACTGAAGGAATCAAAGCTGAGGAGTGAGTGGCAGCTCCCTCTGACATTAAATCAGAGTATACAATAGAGGATGGAGAGACAGCACTGAGGAGAAGAGCACTGGCTGCTCCTCCAGAGGATCCAGGTTCAATTCCCAGCACCCACATGGCAGTTCACAACTGTCTGTAATTTGAGTTCCAAGGACTGACACCCTCACACCAATGCACATAAAATAAAATAATTTAAAAAGAAAGAAGTTAGCCCCACACAAAATGAGACCTAAGCATTTGAAACATACATTAAAAAACAAAAACATGAGAGGGTTTCAAACTGCAAGAATAAACACACACACACACACACACACACACACACACACAAAAGAGAAAGGCTCTGGAGAGATGGCTCAGTGACTAAGAGCACTTGCTCTTGTAAGGGACTGAGGGTCAGTTCTCAGCACCCACATGGCAGTTCCGTCTTCTGTGACTCCGATTCCACAGGATGAGCACTGGCATGCAGGCATGCGGCACGGACACAGACATGCATGCAAATACTCATACCCATAAACGTTAATTCAAACAAAAGTTAAAAAGACGAGATACAGGGGGAAGGAACAGGTGTTATAAGGTAACATTATACAAAGTCTAACAAAGGAGGAAACCCAAAGTGAATAAAAACCTGAAGAATGCTGGCAGACCATGCAGCCTGTCACATGACTCTGTAGAAAAAAAGACTCAAAAACACAAAAACTCAGGATTGGAGAGAAGTATTGACTGGGGGGTGCTCGAGAGATGGTTCAGTGGTTAAGAGCACTGGCTGTTCTTCCAGAGGACCTGAGTTAAATTCCCAATGACCACATGGTGGCTCACAACCATCTGTAATAGAGTCTGATGCACTTTTCTGATGTCTGAAGACAGTGACAGTGTACTCACATACATAAAATAAATAAATAAATCTTAAAAAAAAAAGTACTGGCTACTCTTTCAGGTCCTGAGTTCAATTCCCAGCAACCACATGGAGGCTCACAACCATCTATAACTGAAGTCCCATGGGATCTGATGCCCTCTTCTGGTATACAGATAAACAGGCAGACAAACCTCTCATATTCATAAAATGCATGAATAAATAAATCTTTTTAAAAATATAAAACCTCTCAACTCTTCCGGAGTTTCCCTATGCTAAGGCTACAGAGAGAGCAGCCATGGTGAGGGAGCAGCAGTCCTCTTAACTACGTGGGGGCACCGGGCAGCTGAGGAGTGCTGTGAGCATCTGGGCCATGCAGGTAACCCTATCACATGAACTATAAAACTTACTCAACTTCAAGCTGAGCTTCCTCGGGGCATTGAAAAGCTAAATCTCACTGGGCTAGAGAGAGCTCAGTGGTTGGTTAAGAGCACTGGCTGTTCTTCCAGAGAATCTATTCCCAGCACCCACACGATGGTTCACAACAGTTTATTATGTCAGCCCCATTTCCAGGGAATACAGTGCCCTCTGGCTTCTGCAGGCACCAGGCAAGCACACAGCACCCATACATAGATCCAGGGAAAACATTTTTACATATAAAAGAAATAAATACATCTTTAAAAAAAAACCCAAACCATATCTCAGATAAAGGTATTTTCTTCAAGGACTCTGGTCATTTTAAGTATTGGTACTATTGAGTCTGTATTTCTTAAGGGAAAGAAGGAAAAATAGACATATAAAAATATAAACCTACATTAAGCTCAACTTTGGATTCCATGAGACGAGAATGATCCGCACAGTCCACCAGAAAAACTATACCATTAATCGCTGGGAGATAATTTTTCCAAACCCGACGTGCTAAAAGACAAAATTTGTAGATCAACAAGACTCTAGTGACAAGTGACTAGCCTACTGGTCTACAAAGGGAGACTTGCTGAGCTCACCAAGGCCTGACTGCAGTGGTTAGAGCAGAGGATGCACGCTGATGGCCTGTGAGCCAGACTTGAGTTTTTAAAACTAAGTTTCTGCCTTCCCTGACAGAGTGTAGACCTAGCAACTCCACACCTGTGGGTAACACAATGACCGCCCCCTTTGCTAACACTGCCAAAATCCCCACCAGTTCCACTGCTGTAAACGTAGAAACTAAGAAGTGACCAGTCTGGGACCTAAAGCTAGTAACTTTGTAAGTTCCAAGTTAAAAGCTAATGACTTAGCTGTGCATGTAATTCTTCTCCATGGTAGTTCCTAACAGCGAATAACTGTGTGAGCAGACGTGAGTGCGGGGACCTGGCAGGTACTAGACACTCAGGCCAGGCAATCAGGTTCTGATGTTTAGCCACTGTCTTTTGTGTGTCATTGTTCTAAGACAATGTTGTGACATTGTGTTCTGAGACATTGTTATAAGACAGGGTCTCACAATGTTGTATAGCCTGGGCTGGCCTTGAACTGTCCATCTTTCTGCCTCAGCCCCTAGGAGGTGAAATTAGAGATCTGTACCAACATGGACAATGGCTCCCAACCATCTATAATGGGATGTGATGGCCTCTTCTGGCATGCAGGTGTACATGCAGTTGGAGCACTCATGTACATAAAATAGAGAAATCTTTTATAAAAGGTTTAGGCACACTGCTTTCCTGTGGTGTCTCACAAACCACCGTGACGCAGTCTCTTACCTTGTTCATGCCCACCGAGATCAAAAGTGGTGAAAGTCATTCCAGCAATTGTCAGTTCTTCTGAAGCTGCAAGTGTCAAAAAGGGGGAAAGAAATAAACTTCTAACTAAAGGTCCAAGTGCTAGTACTGAGAACCAATACTAATGTAAACATAATCAAGTTTTCACTGTGTAAAGACCAGGGTACAGCAGGAAAATATTCTTAACCTTAAAAAGCCTCAATTTCCCCTTTCTCCAAGTTTCCCACTTAAGATCAAATATGGGAACTATGTCTCATTACAGAACTGGTCAGAAAGTGACAAGTCCCAGGCATGCAGAGTGGGTGACCTGAGTGTATCTACAGTAACTTGCTTCCAGGACCTCAGTTAGTAAAAGAACTACATCAACTGGGGACCATCCTCCGTGCATGTACTGACCATCAGAAGGTCACCTGGCAATCTGAAACTTACTGGGATGGAGCGTTGGTACGTGCTGGCCTAGTCTGTCATCTTTCAGCATGTGAAGAAGAGTAGTTTTGCCTGCGTTGTCCAAACCTAAGAATACAAGTTTTCCAGATTTCTTGTAGAGTCCTGTAAGAGAAAAAAGAAAGGTTTAAATGTTCTTCCTACTAAAGGCAGCTTGGATACAAATTGTTTGAGGAGACATAGTAGCAACCTGCACTGTGTTTCATGAAAAGAGCTTTACCTAAGAACTGGAGGACACTGCTGAAGCCATTGTAGATCCACTCGAAGATGAAAGACATTATTGATGCTTGTTACCTGTGTAAACATGAACGGAACATTAGCTTTTCGTATGCCTCATTCTCTGACCATGACACATGTTCACAGGCCTGAGTTCCCTAGTAAGAAAGCAAAGTCGGGGGCTGGAGACATGTTTCAGCAGTTAACAACAGTTTCTGCTCTTACAAAGGACCCAGCTTTGATTCTCAGCACCCACATGGTAGTTCACAACTGTATGTTAACTCCAGTTCCAAGGGACTCCAACACTCTCTTCTAGCCTCTGTGGTAAACATACATGCACACAAGCAAAACACACACACATAAAATAAAAATCAATGTTGCAAAGACCAACTAATCTCCTTCGTTCTTGAGACGAGGATTTTGTAGTCTGAAGGGAAGCCTCTAGGACTCTCACATCTGCAAATTCAGACAGTCAGAGAACTCGGAGTCACAGACACATTGTCCTCTTTTAATGGGAGAGGCACTCCTCCAGGCAGCGGCCCATCACTGCTGCCTGCTAACTGGCAACATCCCTAGGAATTCAGTATCTTTAATGATCAGAATCAAGCTGGGCAGTGGTAGCACACGTCTTTAATAGCACTTAGTTTAGTAGCACTTAGGAGGCAGAATCTCTTAGTTTGAGGCCAGCCTGGTCTACAGAAGAGTGTTCCAGAATAGCCAGGGCCACACAGAGAAAGCCTGTCTTGAAAAGTGAATTAAAAAGGCAAACAGATGCACCCACAGGAACCATGCTGAGAGTTGGGGCAGTGACATGTCCATGTCATCCCAGCACTGGGGAAACAGAGGCAGGGAAATCTTTGACCAGCCTGGTCCACACTGGGTCCTAGGCCACTAGGATTCTCTCTTAAAACAAAAGAACCAAAACAGAAGAGTTCATTGACTGAAGAGTTCATGAACCTGAATGAAGTTTAAGCTGTTCTATACAGCTCCAAAAAGGACACAGCAAACCTATCAACTGGCCTGTTTGGTTGACTCCATTTACTAAGGTCCTTAACCACTTTGCAGATGTTTCAACTTATGAAAAGATAGTCTATCTTACAGAAACATAAAGGGATAAAAACTTATTCTGTAATTTAGTATATATCCATTTTATGAACTCCTAATTTAAGAATACTAAATCATAATATAGCAAGAGGTTCCAAAGCAAGTAAGTATCTTATCTGTTTCTTTTGAGACAGGGTCTCAACCATGTAGCACCAAGGACTGCTGCTACAGTCTGTCTTGACTAGCACAGACACCAAACCCACTTGTCCTATTTCCTACAGGCTTAGGAAGGAAAAAACTGCATGACTCAAAGCCACTGAGAGCTCTAAGTATAGAGAGTTAAGAAGGAAGGATCTAGAAATACAGAGAAATTGTAAGGCTCACAAAGGCCCATTTCCTGGTCACACCAAATTTCTGTATCAGTAGCTCTATTTACTGCAGAAAAGAAAAATCATTACTTTCTCAACAAAACAAAACTTTACAGAAAATGCAGCAACTGCAATTAGACAAAAGTTTCATGAACAATAACGGGAAGAAATGTTACTCACGGGCAGTGGTGGCGCATGCCTTTAATCCCAGCACTTGGGAGGCAGAGGCAGGCGGATTTCTGAGTTCGAGGCCAGCCTGGTCTACAAAGTGAGTTCCAGGACAGCCAGGACTACACAGAGAAACCCTGTCTCGAAAAACAAACAAACAAAAAAAAAAAAGAAATGTTACTCACAAAATATGCATGTATACACATTTGTATATATGTGTGTGTGTGTTTACCTTTTAAGAAACAGGATCCCACTGTGTTGCCCAGACTGGCTTCAAACTCCAGGGCTTTAAGCTAACCTTATGCTTCAGCATACTGAAGAGCTGCTATGCATAGTCACACCTGTATTCCTCACAGATGCCAGAAGAAAAGCAAACTATCTAATTATTGGGGTTTCTCAGGCCTACGGCCTGACCTGTAAACCTTAGACACTACCATATCTTACTCCATTCAGCTTTTACCAAAGAACAGCATCTGGGTGGAGGTACAGACAGAAACTGTGGCATGCAGAATACATTTTGCATGTTAAGTAATAGCCAAGAAGGGCACTACACACTTGTAATCTTATCACTCAAGAGGCTCAAAAAGATCACAAGTTCAAAGCCTGGCCTGGGCTACATTGGGAATCCAAGCCCCTGTCTCAAAACAAACAAACAAACAAACAAACAAACAAGCCCTGGAGCCTCAGCCATACAGTGAACTGAAGTCAGTCTGAATCATGAGAGCCCATCACCAAAAAAATAAAAATGTTGATGTCGAGGAGGCTAGGAGCTTAGCCTAGTGCTATGGAGGGATACTTCCTAAACTGCATGGCGCTGGGTTTGAGTCTTGGCACTAACTGACTGACAGCTTTATCTAGAAACTTAGCAGTTTAAGCCCAGTAACAAACATATATTAAGTTCAACTGTTTTAGTTACTGAGTAAATAAAACAATACATCTTTCTTCTACAGTCCCCCTAGCCAGACACCCTCCCTTTATGTCTCTTTATTCCAGAAGAAATCCAGTTCATCTTTAACAGGCTGTGGCCTACTGTGGCCACTCTTACACCCAACGCTTCTAACTCGTGTACTGGTTTGCTGCCAATAGTACAGCACTTTTTTTTTTTAAACCACATCTTTTTAGAAGTATTCCCAAGATGGGCATGAGAGGGAAACCTTTAATCACAGCAGCTAAGAGGCTGAGGCAGGAAGAGGAGCTTTAGTTTGTGGCAGCTTCTCCTACACATTAAGTTCCAAGCCAATCTGGGTTACATAGTGACACTCTATTTCAAAAAAACAAAGAAAAACAAAGCAAATATTCTCAGCCTGGTCAATTCTACAAATGTGACACTTTAGGGGATTGTTTTTAAAGTGGTAACTGAATTATTTTAACTTTCCAACTTATTTTCCTTCCCAGATCTTGTTTAAAAGCCCTATCAATTCTTCCTACCAGAATGATATGGAGACGTACTGGGATGAAGTCTTCAGTGATGTTAAAAAGTAGTACTCCTATCAGACCTCAGGAGTTGGGCTGTACTGCTGCCCAAAGCTGAGGAAATGGCCTTGCTGACACTGTCCTTGAGATCTAAGATCTGAACCAATTCATCCATCAGCAACCTTAGACTTTATACAGTACCAGCATATATACCTCATCTTATCCTCTCACCAACTCCACAAGCCGAGATCTCTGACCTCGGTTAACAAGATGAAGATGTAGAGCCTCTCCAGGTTACCTGTCTTGCTTTTGTGTGGCCAAAAGCATCAGTTCCAAAAGCCATGAGAGATGGTTCAGAGCACCAACCACTCTTCCAGAAGACCTGGGTTCAATTCCCAGCACCCACATGGAAGCTCAAAACTGTCTGTTAACTCCAGTTCTATAGGATCTCACAGACACACATGCAGGCAAAACAATTCACATCAAATAAAAATAAGGTATTTAAAAAGCCTCTCACCTAAAACCAAAGTTTTCCTGCTAATATTAAAATCCAATCACAAAACTTCCGAAAAGGTAAAAGGGAACTTTCCTCTCTAACCTACCACCTACGCAGACGATAATCTTAAGAACACACTTTTCAGATGGTATGTTTACTGAAAAACACTCTATTTCTTTTCTATTCTTCGTCTACTCTGTTAAGAACATTAAAACCAACAACACTATTCATGAACCTTAAGTAAAAACCGTGCAAATATCAAGACTAATGGAAAACAAACAAGAGGAAGTCCCAGAAAGACCACCAGGCAATAAAAATATACTCTACTTAAACATTTTCACGCCCGATCAATCTAGAGTAGAAGACAGCTGGCTATTAACTAAGAAAGTCTGCGGAGCTGCAAGGTGAATGTCAAACATCAACTTACGGCCAATTCCCCCTAAACCTCCCTTCTCAACCTGAGCAGACGGAGCCCAGGTACTGAGGAAACACTCGAGTAAAGGAGGATCCTGAGAAAGGGTATTTGGTACCATTCTCACCTGGGCAAAAATAATGAAGAAAACATTCATCTACGATAATCGCCCGAGGGAATTTTTCCATGCACAGGGGGGAAAAAGGGGGGAAACGAAGTGTTGGTGGAAGGAGCGAACACTGGGTTCCAGACAGAGCATTGGATACCCAGAGGCTGAACGTGGGGCTCGAGCGCCCACTCGCTACCTCTGCAGAACCCAAAGATGAGTGCCAGGGCTCCAGCTACCCTCACCGAGGAACCACACTCCTCCGCCACGGAGGCCACGAAGCCGTCCCAAAAATCCGAACGCCGCCACGCCACCCCGCAGCTGCGGCCCGTCCCCGCCCAGAGCCGGCCCGCGGAACCGCCTGCGTGTCACTGCCCCCCCACCCAGCCCCTCCGCGGCGGCCCTAGCCCCGACCTTCGCTGAGGCCCGCCCCGGGCCCGCTGCCCCACCGCCACCTCCTCCGCTTGGGCCCCGACTCACGGCCCGAGGGGCTCCTCCGGCGGTGGCTGGCGGCGCGACCCTCCCTCAGAGCACACAGCCCAGCAATACCTGGGACCGCCAGCTACGCGCCGGATGTACGTCACGCCCCTCCCTGAGACTTCCGGGCACGCACTTGCCCCGCCCCTTCTAAACGTCACGCCGTTCGGGCCTGGGGGGGGGTTCCGCCCTAACAGCCACTCAGGGCGCGGAGAGGCGGGCCCAAGGCGTGACGTACGCTCCGGGGGAAGCCCCGCCCTCTCCGTGTAGGCAGTCCCGCGACGAAAGACGTGGCAACGCCTGTCAGGCTGCCTGTGACTCTGTCTGTCCCCAACTTAAGCCTCTACTTCAGCCCGGGGCTTCCGATCCCAGTACGTTTTCAGACGCACCGCGGACGACAGAAGCGGAGGCTGCCAGATATAGGTAGAGTCTAGGACAGTAGAATTGACTTTGGTGACCTCAACCTAGGTGGATGCCACATAGTCATTGTTTTAAGTCGTTTTCCCAGCGTTGGGATAGCGTCTCTCATTTTTTTTTTTAAAACTTTCTAAATAAAAGCGACAAGAGTTTAATGAGCAATTTCGGGCAGTTCCCTGGGTACTTGGGATCCTTCATCTAATTTAACCCTCGCTACTACTGATAGCCCCACTGAACAAAGCAGTTAAGTGGGGCTTGCAAAATAGCTCATCGGTTAAAGGTAGGTTTGCTATTGTATTAGCCAGGGCTCTCAGAGGGACCGATGCTATCCCGGCGTTGTGATGCACACCTTTAATCCCAGCCCTTGGGAATCTAAGATATATGAACTTCTTGATTCCAGGCCAGCCAGAGTTACGTGGTGATATCCTGTCTTAAACAAACAAACAAACAAGGAACAGAGATAGAATAATTATACATGTGCAATTTTAAAAATTTTTTTACTTGTGAGTGTTTTGTTTGCATGGATGTCTGTACCACATGCATGTTTTGAGACCAAAAACGGTCGTCAGATCCTCTGGAACAGGAGTTCCAGACCATGGTGTTGACTCCAGTGACCATATCTGTGCTGGGAATTGAACCAGGTCCTCCAGAAGCTCATTCAGTGCTTTTAACTGCTCAGCCATCTCTCCAGCCCCAATATACACATATAATTAAGAGGCTTTATTACAGTGTCTTACAGGCTGTGGTCTGAGTAGTTCAACAATTGTCTCCCAGTGGAAAGGCCAAGAGTTGGGTAATCATTCAGACCACCAGACTGATAGGCTCAGCAGTCCCAGTCGGATGCCGGGAAGCTAGGGAACTACTATATAGCCAGTAGTCACCAGTCTAAATTGGAATTGCAAAGAAGTAGATTCTAAAACCAATGAAGGAAAGCCTCAGTTAATTCCAGATGTAGTCAACTTGACAACCAAGATGAGCAATCACACTGCTCAAGAACTGACAGCCTGAGTTCAGTTTCCAGAACCATGGAAAGTGGGGTAGGGAGGGCAGTCTCTGCAAACACCGGGGCTGGCAAAGGGATGATCCGTGTGAGCTAAGAGGGAAATCAGGTCAGTGCGACTTAGTTAGCCAGTGTTGGTTCAAACTTCTAGAATCTGACACCAGGCATTCCATAAAAATGGATCCATAGTGTAAGGACCTAGGGGAGGGGCTGGTCTCAGTCACAAAAATAGCATAGATGTCACCAAGCTATAAAGTTCATGTGACATCTCCCCTAAAGATTGGTTCAATACCTACCTCACAACTGTTTGTAACTCTGGTCCCAAGGGATCCAGCACCCTTTTCTGACATTCAAGGCCTCTTGGAACACATGATGCATATACAATGAAAGCAGAACATCCATAGAATCAAAATAATTAAGGTCATTTTTAAAAAATCAAAAACAACACAGCGAGGTGTATCTGGATGCAGCTACATTCCAGCACTCAGGAGGCAGAGGCAGGAGAAGCTCTGCACTCTGAGGGCAGCTTGGCTGGTTAGTGCAGCTGAGGAGATGCAGCCCAACACTGCAGCAGTAGCCCAAGGGGCTCCTTTCCCCATCCCACTCCAGTAAAGCTGCTTGATTGCAGCTCGGAAGAATCAGAAGAGAAGCAAAGTTAGCCAGTTTATTAAACAGACCTAAGAAAGGGTACGTGCTTCAGAGCAGTGGTTCTCAACCTTCCCAAGGCTTCGAACCTTTAGTACAGTTCCTCAGGTTGTGGTGACCTGTGACCTCCCAACCATAAAATGATTTTCATTGCCACTTCCTATCTGTAATTTCACCGGTATGGATAATGTGAATATCTGATATTTCTGATGATCTTAGGTGACCCCTGTGAAAGGGTCGCTTGAGTCCCAGAGGGGTCATGATCCCTATGGTTGAGATCCACTGCGTTAGACTTAAGTTTGAGAAGATAGATGGTGGGTATTTGTTAATTTTTGGGAAAGGATTGAACAGAACCCAAGACATGAGTATGGGCTTCTCTGTGTGTGTGTGTGTGATTTTTGTGGTTTTTTTTTTTTTTTTTTTTTGGTTTTTCGAGACAGGGTTTCTCTGTGTAGCCCTGGCTGTCCTGGAACTCACGCTGTAGACCAGGCTAGCCTCGAACTCTCGAACTCAGAAATCCGCCTGCCTCTGCCTCCCAAGTGCTGGGATTAAAGGCGTGCGCCACCACCGCCCGGCGATTTTTGTGGTTTTTAAAGTTACATTGTTCAAAGCCTGTGGCTTAAAGATGAAGCACACCAAGGGCTGGAGCAACGCCTACGTGGTTCAGAGTGTGTAACAGAGGCCCTGAGTTCTGTCTCAAGCACCAGCATCGGGTACAGTATCCTATAACTTGAACCCCAGAACTACATTCATGTCACATAACCACATATCAATACACACAAAGTTTTTGTTTTGTTTTGGTTTGTTTTTAAAGTTTTGGGGTTGGAGAGATGGTCTTGTTCTTTTAGAGGATACCATTTTTGTTGGTGGGTTCACAACTGCCCCAGGAGATCTGATGCCCTCTTCTGGTCTCTACCAGCACCTGTACTCAAGTGCGCACATCCACACACATACAAACACATACGCATAGTTAAAAATAAATCTCTGGAACCGTGCAGTGGTGGTGTCTCCGGTCTACAGAGTGAGTTCCAGGACAGCTAAGGTTACATACACAGAGAAGCTTTGTCTCAAAAATCAAACAAACAAACAAATCCATCTTTGGGGGCTTGAGAGAGGGCTCAATGGTTGAGAGTACTGTTGCTCTTTCGAGAGGTTCAGTACCAATATGGCAGCTCACAACCATCTGTAACTCCAGTTCCAGGGGACCCAATACCCTCTTCTGGTTTCTAGAAGCACCAGCCATGAACATGGTACATAGACAATACACACAGGCAAAACATATACACATTAAAAAAATTTTTTTTAATATTTTTTATTTCTTTATTTTATGTACAAGTACCCTGTAGCTGTCTTCAGACAAGCCACCAGAGGGCATCACATGGTGGTTGTAAGCCACCATGTGGTTGCTGGGAATTGAACTCAGGGTGTCTGGAAGAGCAGCCAGTGCCCTTAACCGCTGAGCCATCTCTCCAGCAACCCATTCATAAAGATTTTAAGACAAACTTTTTAAAAAATATTGTTAAAGGTTACATAATAAGTTGAGCTCAGAGTGAAATGCATTGACACTGTCTCAGAAGTGTTTTTAATTGAAAGAAATTAGTATTATATAAGCAAAGGTATGGAAGCTATTAGAAGGAATAGAAACCATGTAAGGGTCCGTGACTCACGAAGAATGATACCCCAGACTCACATAGCATCCAAGAGCAAAGTGTTTGTTCCGCAGAGAACCTGCACACAGGGGTCCACCATACTTCATGATGGAAGGCAGAGGTGTGGACTTAGCAGGGACAGCCTGTGAGGGTAGGAGTGAGGGACTTTTACCTTTCCTTTCCCTGATTGGTTGGCTCTATCTCTGGGGTATGGGTGCCCTTGTGATTGGTTAAGACTCTGGGGGTTTGGGGGACTTTGCTGATTAACTGTACTTGGGGCAGCTTCTACAGCTCCTGATTGGCTGCCCATGATGGGGCAGCTTCCTGATTGGCTGCCCATGAGGTTGGCTCAGGCTAGGTGATAGGGCAGCTTCCTGATTGGCTCCCCATGAGGGGTGGTTTTTTTCCTGGAACTGACTTGCTTTGGACTTTTCCAGTTCTGAGAAACAGAAACAGGCCTAGTCTCCCAAACTGCCAGTTTGCAACCTGTCATGGAGTCAGCCTGGTTCTGGCTAACTCAGTCCTCCCAACCATTGAGTTAAAAAGCACAATAGGAGACAAAAATTGATGACTTTAATGCTAGAAATGAGAGAATCATTATATATAAGACAAGGTGTCGTTAGGAAGAATGGCCTGGAACTTGATAGAGAGAGACGAGTCTGGCTTTGAACTTAGAAATCCATCTGCCTCTGCCTCCCAAGGGCTAAGATTAAAGCTGTGTGCCACCATGCCCAGCTAAAGAAATTTTTTTAAAAATGATTTTATCTTTTAGTTGTGTTCGTGCACTTGAATGGTGTCTTCAGAGGCCACAAGAGGGTGTCATTATCTTCTATGGTTGGAGTGCAGGTGGTTGTAATCTGTCTGATGTGGGTGCTGGGAACCCGCTCAGGTCCTCTGGAAGGGCAGCAAGCACGCTTACCCACTCAGCCATTTCTACTGCCTCTAGAATCATTTTTAAGACAAGGTTTGACTATCTTACTCAGGCTGTCCTTGAAGTCACTCTTAACCCATGTAGGCCTTGGTCTCACGGCCTCTTCAATTGCTAGGACCAATAGGCCTCCACCACTAAGCCTAGAGATTTTTATTTTATTTTATTTTGAGACAGAGTTTCTCTGTGTAGCCCTGGCTGTCCTGGAACTCACTCTGTAGACCAGGCTGGCCTCGAACTCAGAAATCCACCTGCCTCTAATCCTAGAGATCTTAAGGATTCTAATTTAGCAATGGACTGATTCCTGATGGATCCCCATGAGGGCACTGTTGGAGACGGTGGTATAGGAGTTGGGAAGTAGATAACTAGGAATGTACCTTGGAAAATATACCTTGTGCCTAGCCCCGTCTTGCCTTGATTTCCTCACTGTCATCTATGTTTCCACTGATAAATGGTATTATGCTTTAGCATTTCTCATCTAAAGCCCAAAGCA